TGTCGCTGGACTCCCACTAGTCGACCACGGTTTGAGTCCCGGACCCAGTGGCTTAAACTCACACTGGGCGCGTGTGCGTGTGTGCCCAAGATTCCGAGAGGAGAATGGAGAAGAAGGGATTGCGGCGTGGCCATCCCCCCTGGGGGGTGATTTCTCGCTTTCTGTCTCTCTGTCTCTGTCTATCTGGCGAGCGCATGCGCCCTATAGCATAAAAGACTCTCCAAAAAAAAAAAGAGTGAGCAGGAAATACCGGACCAGCAAAACTTTACAGCGGGTGAGATGAAAGCACAGCTCAGCAGAAACGAAAGTGGAAGTACATTCCTGAGAGGTAGGGCCGAACGGTCTCTGCCCTGTGTGCGTGTGTGCGTGTGTGCACGTGTGTAGGGAGCAGAGGGTGAGGGAGCAGAGGGGAGGAGAGACGAAGTGAAAGTGAGGAAAGGTCGCCGTGGGAACGTGGCCCTTCTATTGCTCTCTGGATTCGGGGCACCTGCACCTGCCTTGGCGCTCTTATGCTGCTGCGTGCGGGACAGTGGTCAGTCACCTCCACCACCACGTCACAGCTCATCCCCAAACCCACTTCTGTCTTTGAAGGAACTGTCAGTAGTGCCGGGAATTACTGGGTTGTCAAAGTCATGGCCTATTTTTGCTGTTTTTCTATGCAGAAATGCGCCATGACTTTTCCAACAACCCAGTGCATTCATGTCATTAAAAATAAATAATTGTCCCCAATCAGGTCCAAACAAAAAACCGCATGTCAGTTGCCCTGTCGTGATCTTGGCAAAACCAGACCCCATCCTTGTAGGTCTTTGGACTCTCAGGACCCAGAAGAGCCGGCATATGGTGTTGCTCCAGATCTGATGTTTATGCTCTCCCCATCCATATGTTGAAACACCCCATCTGTGTCTGACCATAGCCCGCCTCCGGCAGGCCAGCTGGTGGTGTGGTGGTTAAGGGTGCTGGATTCCCATGCGATCGACCACAGTTCAAGTCTCAGACCTGGCGGCTCGCTTCCCCTCTCTCTCTTTCTCACTTTGTCCCCCTCTTGCCAAACTAAAATATAAATAAATAAATGAAAGTTAAATAAAAATAATTATTTAAAAAAAAAAGAAATCCCCAGTGTGTTAGTATTTGGAGGTGAGGGTGTTCTTTGGGAGTTGATTAGATCACAAAGGTGGAATCTTCATGAACGGCTTTAGAAGTCCCTGAGCGCTCCCAGACTCTCCCAGCATCTGAGGACATGGCAGGAAGAGCGCTGCTGTGAGCTGAGGACGGGCCCTCAGAGACCAGATCCGCAGCTCTTCGGCCCTGGGCTCCCCGGCACGCGGAACAGTCAGTGGTGTCTGTTGTGTGTCAGACTGTGGTATTTTTTTAATACTTACTTATTTTTATATTCTATGATTATTTTTAAAATGTATTACAAGGCACATGCATTTCCCAGAGACAGAGAGAGAGAGAGAGAGAGGGAAAGTGAGAAGGCAAGCCACCGTGTCCGGGACTCAAACCTCGGTCCTGCCTTGACCTCCAGCCTGTCCTGTCTCACGCACTCATGGTTGTGCCTGGAGCGCCTCAGGCTGAGCAGGCCGGGCATCCGAACTGCAGCAGCTCTGTGGGCTGCAGGTATGGGCCTGTGCCACAGCGCTGACCTGGTCTTCGTGAGCTCGGTGGTGTTTACATGTATTGGCTGTGCTTGCTTTTATCATCATCTTCTGGCTTCCTGTTTTATGGCCTATCTGTTCTAGGAACACCCCTAGTTAAGAAGTACAGTTTTGGAACCAGCAGTTGGTGTAATGGCTATGTTGCTGGACTCTCACGTAGTCGACTGCGGTTCGCGTCCCGGACCCAGTGGCTTAAAACTCACGCCGGGCGCATGTGCGTGCGTGCCCAAGATCCCGAGAGAAGAATGGAGGAGAAGGGATTGCGGCGTGGCCATCATCCCCTGGGGGTGATTTCTTGCTTTCTGTCTCTCTGCCTGTCTCTGTCTGGTGAGCGCACGCACCCTATAGCAAAAACCTCTCCAAAAAAAGAAAAAAAAAAGTACAGTCTTTACTGCCTGGGGTGGCAGGTGGCATGGTGGTTAAGGATGCTGGACTCCCACGTGGCTGACTGCAGTTCAAGTTCTGGACTGGGCGGCTTGCTTTCCCATGTTCCCTTTCTCTCTTTCACTCTGTCCCTCTCTGATCAAATAAAAACAAGTAAATAAAATAAGTCTTTAAAAAATGTAAAACGAACTACAGTCTTGACTATAAATAGACCTCATCTCCAAATACAAGCCACTGCCACGGGCGGCCTAGATTGAGCACATCCAAAACCTTAAGTTGTACCTGTCAGGTTTTTAGAGTTGATTACTGTCCAGAGTACTTCCTCCTGCCCTGCTGTGAAAAGTCCTATTCTGGGGAGACCAGCGGGTGGTGCAATGGTTACATTTGTGGACTTCCATGTAGTTGACCACGGTTCAATTCCCGAACTTGATGGCTGAAAACTCACACCAGTGTGTGTGCGTGTGTGACCAATAATCCCAAGAGGAGAATGGAGGAGGAGGGATTGCAGCATGGCCATCCCCCCTGGGGGGGGTGATTTCTCACATTCTGTCTCTGATGAGTACATTTCAGATTCCTTGGTGCAAGGGAACGTCAGGGGATCTGGTTTGGGAAGAGTCCTGTTCTAGAGCCTGACTTTGGCAGGGCGATACGCAGGTATGGTAATATTTTCTTCTGCCAACATCTCTAAAAACTCCTTTTTTGGTATGACCAATTTTTTCTTCTTTTTTGCTCACAAAATTCTTTAGTTGTATGCTCAGAGTTAACGAGTCCAGCTCTGGGGCTCCCCAGCTGAGCAGCAGATGTCAGGATGGTCACTAGTAGGCCTAGAGAAAAACTATTCTCATTATAAAAGCAACAAAAGGAGGGGAAACTGCGAATTTCCCTACTGTTTTGCATTCCACTCAGTATAGGGGAGAACGAGTAGGAGAATTTGGGTAGTCTCTGTTCCAATAACTGGGCAGTCTGTTTCAGAGGGGAAGAACTTGTAGCATGTATTAACCTGGTAACTGATAGCTGCGAAAGCCGATGTGAGTATTCCTTAGTGTGAACCTGTAGATTGTGTAAGAGGTATGCGTGTGTAAGGATGGAGGGCTAAGCAGCGTGCCTCTGCCGCGTCATCCCCCCCGAAACACTCAGCTGTGGCACACACAGCAGCTGGGTGCACTGAGCATGTCCCCAGCCTCTCCCCGCTGCCGACGTCACTGTACCCGAACCTGGGGATCGGCACCCGATTTCCTCCCGGCCCTCACAGCTAGGAGCGGCCACCGGACTCCATGATAGGCGCTTCTCTCTTCTGCGAGCTTCTGTCACCTGCCAGGAAAGCCCCTCTTCAGGCAAGAGCTGGTTTCTGTGGCATGCCAGCAAGGAACTTGATCTCTGGTAAGCCACGGAGGAGGCTCTTCCACACAGGATGCCTGAACTCAGGCGCTTGTAGGAAGGATGAAAAGGTAGGGAGATGGGGTAGATAGACAGAAGGACAAGCTGACTTAGATATCGAAGAGGAAGAATCCTGGAAGTAAGTACTGGAAGTTTTGGATGCATGTTTAAGTAACAACAGAAATTTACTCCTCTGTTTGTCTTTGATTAAGTAGTCAGTATAGCTACTTTTTACTGTAGGAGAAGGCACAGACCAGGTCTCCCCTATGTCAGGATCTTCCTGCCTCAGCCTCCTGAGTAGCAGGGACCATTCTAAGCTTTTTAGGTTGGCTGGGAATTGAACCTGGGCCTGCTATGGGGCCTCAGCCTGTAGAAGGGACAGGCCACCATAACTGGGCTGCTATTGGGGTACTTTGAAAATCAGATCAAAAGGACGTAGAGTGTAGAAGTTATGGGTTATTTTCTGGTAATCGGAAGATTCCTTGAATAGGTGCTACTTTAACATGGTTTAGGCTTAAACATTGACTTTATGTATTATGTATATAATATAAAAATATGTAATTAGGGGCCACAGATGGCGTGGGCGTGGTGGCTGAGGTGCTGGAATCCCACATGACTGACTGCGGTTTGAGTCCTGGACCTGGGGGCTTGACTCTCTCTCTCTCTCTAGCTCCTGTCTCTGTCTAGTCAAATAAAAAAATAAATAAAATTAAAATAAAAAATGATATATATAGGTATAAGGAAAAATTTGCTTTCTACCATACCAATAGTTGTTTCTTGTTTACTCTTCCAGTTATTTGATGGATATACCAGTAAATACAAACATATATTAGTAAATATTTCTCCCAATTCCTACAACCACTTGTATGATTTAAAATAAAACAGAACAACAAATGTTTGGTAAACAAAATTTAATACAACCATATAGTCAAGTTACAACAGTTAAAAGACATTTTACTAGCTATGACTTTTTAAAAATTAAACTATGCAAGAAAGATTTTAAACAAAACATGTAAGTAGTAATGTGCTACAACCGAATTGAGAACAGCGAAATAGAAAGCATTTTCCTTTCACTGTGAAGATGCTGCAGCCTCCAGCTGAAAGCCAGTGACGCTGGCCATCCCGGGCCTGTACTAGACGGAGGGGAGGGCAGGTGACACTTTCGTTCATCTCTAAAACGGTGTTGTCTTAGTTCTGGAAACGCTCAACAAGGATGTAAAGAAACTGAGGGGAGAGGGAGAGGGAAGAATAAGTGCTTTTTCAGGAAAGTTAAAAGAAAAAGCCTGTGGTGGGGGAGAAGTATGTAAGAATGGAACAAAAATAAGTGGATACACTTTTTGGACACGGATGTAGATATAGCCAATGACATTTACAAGGATTTAATCAATGTAAGAGAGTTTTATCTGAATACCATAAAAAGCACCTAGATATTAAAAAATAAAACCCAAAAATATAATAAAACGCCAAGCACCCAACAACCTTCCTTAACATTGTCATTCTTGCAAGCAACCCACAGCTGGTGCTCAAAAACCTTTAAGAAAGGAGCAGTTTATAGGAAACAAGTTGAAACCTATCTAAGGTAAGCTTTATTTAGATGGAAAAGGCTGAGACAGCACTAGTGAACTTAAGGCACATAAACAAATTCAAATGTAGTTATCTTGAAAACATTACAACAGAAACTCTTTGGAATAATATATAAAATAAGTTATGACTGTTGGTTGCTTTTTAAAAAAATGTATTTATGATGATCATCTTTAGCACTAAGTAAATTTAATATCTAAGGCAATCACACAATGTAAAACATTCATATAAAACATTTAAAATGTCTAAATTATGTTGAAAATGTCTCTGGAATTAGCAATTTGCAATCCTGGCTCAAGTGGTTTCTGGTGCCTAGCATTAGACGTGACAGTAAGTATAGCTACCTAGTCAAACCTACTGCCTTAAACATCAACTGAATTGTCCCGTTCTGGTTACTTGGTATGGTGAACTGATTAATTTTAAAAAAAAAAAAAGGAGTGAGGTGATGTAAACCTGGCTTCCAATATAATTCTGGTTATACAAGTAGCAAATTCTTAATAAGGCCAAAATTATGCTGAGGTTAACTGGTGTCTTGAGTTTAATAAAACAAAGGCAGTCCACAGGAAGCCTTTAGGAGACATTATCTTCTCACTCGGCACCACAGAAATAGCAATCTCCTCTCTGAGAATAGTCTGAGTACATGTGTAGGTGTCTTTTCCACATAGAAATCTCAAGACAGACAAGGCACACATGAACAGTTCAGTTCCTCTCTTTTCATGTATGGTTCTCACAGCAATTTTTAAAAAAAAAGTCTATTGTCATATCCAGACAACAGGAGGGAAAAAAAAACCCCACACACACCTGGTTTGTGTATTGACAAAAGTAGTATCATCAAACCTTTGTCTTTCCTGAGTTTCAAAAGGGTATTGACAGTAGACATACAGAAACAATTCATATTCACTAAGAGAAAATGTATCAGTCCACAACATTTTCATCTTTCCAAATGTAAAAGAATGAATGTTCAACCAACTCCACGTGTGAAGCCCGTTTACCAAATTAAATCTGCTCTAGAATCACGAATTTAAGGTTATTTATGACACTTTAAATACCCCAGATAGGCAAAAGTGACAAGTTAAGACCCTCCCTGAGTATTTACATCATTACACCTGGTTTACATGGAGTCTAACTACCTATATTTCAGGCATCTAGGAAAAGAAGGTTACTGAAGACCCAGCAGGCCACCGCTTTCACACCCTTCAGTGAAGTTAGGGGAAGAGTAGAGCAGAGAAGTTCTTCCGTTGTAAAAATTAAGTCACTTTGTAGCTCACTCACGGAAAGGAAAACACAGAAAAGGATAAACTTCATGAAAAAAAAAAAACAAACAAACCTGGAAGACAAAAAACTATACTTTGTTGATCCACAAAACATACCTCTGAATTCCCTTTCCAACAGGTTTACGAACTCATGTCCACCTGCAGTGTGTTTCTCACCCTGTAAACCAGATGCACTCCATGGCTTCTGACTGCATGCAAGTCGTCCTTGCTAATACTCATCATGGACTCCCGAATGTAAAAAAGTACTTTAAAATGCCCAAATAGAAGGATCTTCCGGATTTGAGTTGAATATGGTCAATGGATTTTTACTTTATGTGCATTTTCTGATCATCACAAACTGCTAAAATCACTAGTGTGTGTCTGTATGGATGTGTGTATACAGTCATCGTATCTATCTACGTATACACACACACATACACACACTAACCCAGACTCACATGAGCGTCAACAGTCAGGCATGTGTGACAGAATGAATATAATCTGATGCTAATGTGGTTGATATAGTCCTTTGATTATGCCCTAAGATTCTTTTTTATTTTATCAAGGCTAACATCCATTATCTCCAAAAATTAGTAAGGAAGATAAATAATGAAAGGAAATTAAAATACCAGTTGGTAACTTTAAAAATAGTTATTTCAGTTTTCTAGGATTCAAGTTAAATTCCTGAGGGCCTTCGCCATAAGTCACAACTACTTAATTTATGCAGTTTTAAATTATATAGAGAAAAAAATCAAACGATATTGGTATGAGGTCTGTGTTTAAATAAATTCAGTTTTTAGTTTTTAGGATTTCACTTCAAATTTGCTAAAATAGACACAGAGATATTAAAAAGAAACGTGCAACAAAACACACTAGTTAATACTTTTAAAATAGACAAAAATACTAGACTACAAAGTTATCTTAAGAAAGTCTTTTTATGTGAAGTCTGTATTTACCAATGGATATGATCCTGCAAATGCATATGAAAATACAATGACCATTTGTATATCTTCAGCATTTATCAAACATGTTTTCCACACACATTATCTGAACTAAATAGGCCCTATTATCTGCAAACGTGTAATTCAGAAGTGTCTGAAATTACAGCACGATTATCCCAACTGTACTTACAACTCTTTCAACTAAAATAGCTGAAATAGTTTTCTAAACTGCTCTGATAGTTATCACGAAAAGGTATATATGATTTTGAAATTATGATCTGGAAAATAAAAATTCCCTAAAATGCTGTAAATTTTGTAGAGCTTTCTTTAGAATTTGGATTTAGCTAAGCATTAAAATTTCAAATATGTCATTCTGAAATCTCTGTATTGTTCTAAGTTGAGGGAAAAAAGGTATTTTACCAAGGTAAGGTTTTTTTTTTGAAGAATGATTTTATTTAACTTTATTTATTTAAATTTGACCATAGAAGGAGGGAGGGAGAGAGAAAGTGAGAAAGGTCCGGGACTTGAACCAGTCGGCCACGTGGGAGTGCAGCACCCTTAACCACCGTGCCCCCTGCGGCCCCCCAGGTTAGGAGTTTGATCACCGTCTTGGTTCAAGCAGAGACCTGGCAGCACTGCAGCCACGCACCGGCACCATCTCTCCTGGCACAGGAACGTGCGATCCTGTGGGAGCCAGTAGTAACCGGGAAGTCCAGATAGCAGGCAGCTGGAACACACGCAGGCTGTGGGAAACCGTCCACACAGGCACCACGATCGCCCCGTGCTGCGGTGCCTGCCGCAGCCATTATCTGCCCTCTGAGAGAGCTTTACCTTTCTGCCCTCAGTGGGAACCGGGAAGCTTTGTAAACTGGAGTGGAGAAATCTAGGCAAAAGCAATCTGCTATACAGAAGCTAGGAAATGCTGATCACTATTTGACACAATGGGTACCAAATGAAAGATCTGTCTTAGAAGACTAGAACTACTATAAGTGTTTTCAGATAGCTAAATTTAAAAGCAAAATGGACCCACGGGGATAGGTGGTCCCTGCTTTATCCTACCAGTCACCTCAACAGCAGACTCAGGATTTTTAGCTGTTTGCATGAAAGTAGGTAGTCAGGGATGTGGTCCTCGCCCAAAGCACCTTACTAGTGACTGGTGAGGTGCAACCCAAGGGGGCTAGGGAGAAAACCCCTTCCTGCTTTTCACAAGACAGTAAGTCAACAGACTTAGACTCCTTACAAGATGCGGCTTAAATACTACAAGAGTGATGATGGGTCGTTTTTCCTGCAATAGTGATTTAATTTTTTCTTAGACATTAGCCTGTTTTAATACCCCTTTTAGGGGACCTTACTTTTATCTCCTACCTAACCAACCCACCCCCCCAAAAAAACACAATGTTTAATATAACAATGCAATTCTAAAGTCACAATAATCGAATCTTTTATATTTGAATTGTTGACATTATATTTTTATCAATTACAGAAAAAAGAACCTTTCAATAAAATTACTTTGTCCACAACAAAGATTTTTTTTTAAGCTGATTTTTCCCCCCTTCACCATGCATTCTAGGCATTATGTGATTCAACCTAAACAAAGCTGCGGTCAGGCAATTTTCTCTACGTATATCACAAAATGAGGACTATACAATCTTGCATATAAACATACATAAAAGAAGACCACTCACAATTCCTAAAAGGTGTGCAGATGAGACACTGTTTCCTACGCCACAGAGGCATCTTACAAACTCTTACACAGGTACACTCTCAAAGGCCAAGCAACAACCACTTCCTTAACAAAACGTTTCTTTTTCAATTACAGGAAAGGATTTATTACAGTTTGAAAGGCTGATATTTTAGGGTGAAAGGCACCACAGTTACTATTTTTCCTTTTTCTTCTGTTTTTGCATATGGCACAAAGGAGATATGTCAAGTTCCCACCCTGGAGTGTGGCTCCTCGGGTGAGGTGTCCTGGTCAGAGCTTAAAGCACTTCTCGTTGTACCTGTGGATGGTCACGCAGCCGTGGTAGGACACTGGCCGGGGCATCGCGGCCACCCCCGTGACGATCCCTGTCGCAGGGTCGTAACACAGGATCGTGTCTGTGGCTTCTCCGTTCTCCCGTCTTCCACCCAGAATGTATATTTTACCATTACATATAGACATACCACAGTTTTCCTGTTTAAGCAAATACATAAAAAAAAGAAACATCAAGATAAGGAACTTGGCAACAAACTTAAGAGTGAAATAAAACATATTTTAGCCGTCAAGAAATGGGGGACATGATGTAAGTTAAGTTCTTATCTGCTCAACTCCTGTCCAGAGTGTGAATACTGGGTACCTTCGTGTGGATAAAGTAAGTCTTAAAACAGATCCCATGTTAGGGACCGGGGCCAGCATGCAGGAGATACAGTGGGTGTGGTGGACTAGTCGGAGAGTTTTAACATAGTGGTGGTTGGGAACCAGCAGTTAGCATAACGGCTATGTTGCTGGACTCCCACGTAGTCGACCGCAGTTCGCGTCCCGGACCCGGTGGCTTAAAACTCACGCTGGGTGCGTGTGCGTGCGTGCCCAAGATCCCGAGAGGAGAATGGAGGAGAAGGGATTGCGGCGTGACCATCCCCCCTGGGGGGTGATTTCTCGCTTTCTGTCTCTCTCTGTCTGTCTGGCGAGCGCATGCGCCCTATAGTGAAAGCCTCTCCAAAAAAAAAACCCAGAAACATAGTGGTGGTTAAACACAGAACGTCTTTGAAGGGTCTGGCTTGCTCTCCTATTACAGGGGAGTTCTTTATTATATAAAGTTTGTTATCTTATGACTATGGAGTAGGAATGTCATTTGTTATACAGGATGATGCACAGTAAAATGAATGAATGATAGTTATAACTGATTTAACAAAACGCTGTTATTAGGGAGACCTTGGCTGGGAGATGGAAATGTGTCAACATTTTATATTTAAGTTCCCACATAATTGGATTATTAGCTAAATATTACTTTCTGTCAGTAATAGAAATATAAAATAAATGTTCCTATTAGAATGAGAGCGATTCCTCAAAAAAAGAAACTATACTAAAATTTGTCTATTACATAGTTATGGTTTTGCTGGAGGACAAATATTTTTCTATTTAAATTTTACTTTAATTCAGAAAGTTACTATATTCTGGTCCTACCTAACCAACGATGAGACAGATGCTACCAATAACGTCAGTACACATTTTTACTTAACAGATTCGTTGTATGTAAGTTTTGCTCTCACAGAAGAGATGAAATCTTGGTGGACCGATATAACAGAAGGGAAGTACATTTAGGTCTGAAAGAATCAGCCCTTCGACGTGTCTCTGTGGAAGTTGACGTACACGGAGGATGGCCAGGCCTACAGCTGCGAGTGGACGGGAGCTTACCCAGACGGCCACCCACGAACCGTGCCGACCACGGGCCAGGCTGTGACGCTTTTCATCTAGCGCACACGAGTTCTTTTCGTGAATCCTAAAAACTCTGACTATAATAAAAACAACAATAACGCCACCCTTCGTTTTCAGGCAGTAGTAGTTTCCACTATTTAACCTTATAGTTACTTTGATGATGATGCAAAAACAATATATAATTACATAATCTAGTTATCAACATCGCTTCAGATACTAATGCTCAGAAGTCAATGAAGCACATAACCTTGCAAACAATTATTTGTTCATATCAGAAAATCACTTCTGTCAGATATAACAGTTTATTTCACATGATGTAAAATACTCTTGGATTAGATGTGTTTATTTATACTAAATGAAAAACTTATCCCTCGGGAGTAAGAGTACCTAGTGTGAAAATCATTGGTCAGTACATGAAGCTGTTTTCGTTTTTTATTTTTTGGGGGGTAAAGATCACTAAAGAGAGAGAGAGTGCACACCCGCCAGGGAGAATAGGCATGCTGTAATCTCTGCTCTAGTCTTCTCTCAGGATTCTGAGAACATGCATGCACACGCGCACACACACACACACACACACACACACAGCCTGTTTTTCAGGCTGCCAGGTCTGGGACACAAACTCACATTAGGCTATGTGAGATCCAGCTGCCTAATCACCATGCCACGAGCTGGCTCAGTACAAATTTTAATGTTATTTTTAAAGATGGAAATAAACATGATCCTAATATTAGAAAGAAAAACCCCTCCTTAATTATTACTTTGATATGATTAAATGTTAAAATGTCAACAATACAGAAAAGGAATCAGATTTCACTTAATTGTAAATTTATCATTTATAGTTGTAATGTTTTCAATTTCTATTGAAGAAGGAAAAAAATCTTTTATGTTTTTTTTGAGAGGTTTTTGTTATACGGCGCGTACACTCGCCAGAAAGAGAGACAGAGAGACAGAAAGTGAAAAATCACCCCCCAGGGGGGATGGCTATGCTGCAATCACTTTTACTCCATTCTCCTCTTGGGATATTGGGCACGCACACACATGCGCCCAGTGTGAGTTTAAGCCACCAGGTCCAGGACTCGAACCATGGTCGACTACATGGGAGTCCAGCTACATAGCCATTACGCTAACTGCTGGTCCCAAGAAGGAAAAAAAAAAATCTTCATCGACTTAAAAAATCCCCTACTGGGGGGAACCAGCAGTTTAGCATAATGGCTATGTCGCTGGACTCCCACGTAGTCGACTGCGTGTGCGTGCGTGCCCAAGATCCCAAGAGGAGAATGGAGGAGAAGGGATCGCGGCATGACCATCCCCCCGGGGGGGGGTGATTTCTCGCTTTCTGTCTCTATGTCTGTCTCTGTCTGTCTGGTGAGCGCACGCGCCCTATAGTGAAAAACCTCTCAAAAAAAAAAAAAAAATCCCCCATTGGGTCAACCTGTGACCTGGTGGTTAGGGTGAATAGATCCCACATGGCTGACTGTACAGCTCGAGTCCCAGACCTGTTGGCTTGAAAAACATACAGGGCACGTGTGCATACATGCCCGAAACCCTGAAAGGAGGAGAGACGAGAAAGGGATTGCGCGACCCCAAACGGGGAGGTGCTTCCTTGCACCCTGTTCCCCTCCCTCTCTAGCAAGCACATGTGACCTCTGTCAAGTTAAAAACAAAAACAAGCCCCCTATTTCTGTTGTTGTTTGCTATGAGGTGTCGGAACTTGCCAGAGAGAGAGGGAGGGAGAGGGAAAAGTGAGGAATCAGCCCTCCCCAGGGGCATGGCCATGCGGCCATTCCTTCTCCTCCAGCCTCCTCTCAGGATCTGGGGCATGCACACACATGCGGCTGGAATGTTTTTCACGCCGCTGGGAACAGGATGTGAACTGCAAGTGGGCCGTGTAGGATCCAGCTTCTTTAACCACCACACCCCATGGCTGACCCCACCCCACCATTTTTTTTAGACATTGTTGACAGAGGTTAAAAAGCAAAATATGCTTTGAATAACGAGCTGTAGCTTTCAGAAATTATGTGAAGCTAAGAGGCAGGAAAATGGGGAAGGACAAGAGAAATAAGCTGGGTCTGCTAGGACTGCGCCACCATCTGAACGTCTCCCCCAGAAACTCCATGCTAAAGTGTGGCGAGCCATGGTACCAGTGTTGAGAGTGGAGACGCAGGTGACGGGCTGGATGAGGCCATGACTGACCCTGGTAGGTTTATCAGCACTGACGCAGATGCACACCAAGACATGCAGCCCCTGCCCACAACAAGACCCTCAGCATGGGACTAGCAGTTAGCGTAATGGCTATGTCGCTGGACTCCCACGTAGTCGACCGCAGTTCGAGTCCCGGACCCGGTAGCTTAAACTCACACAGGGCGCATGTGCGTGCGTGCCCAAGATCCTGAGAGGAGAATGGAGGAGAAGGGATTGCGCTGTGACCATCCCTCCTGGTGGGTGATTTCTCACTTTCTGTCTCTCTGTCTCTGTCTGGCGAGTGCATACACGCGTTCCCCCCAAAAAAAAAAAAAAAAAAAAATAGGCCCTCAGCAGTCCCTTGACACTAGCCCTATACAATGGTGAGCTAAATAAAACTATTTTTTTTTTGACAGGTTTTCGCTATAGGGCGCATGTGCTCGCCAGACAGACAGAGAGAGACATAAAGACAGAAAGCGAGAAATCACCCTCCGGGACACGAATCGCGGTCGACTACGTGGGAATCCAGCGACATAGCCATTACGCTAACTGCTGGTTCCCAAAACTATTTTTTTTTTAAGAATTATTTTTTATTTAATTTTATTTATTCATTCATTTTAAAAAATTTGACCAGAGACACAGAGAGAGGGAGAGAGAGGGAAAGTGAGAAAGCAAGCCACCAGGTTAGGGACTCAAACCGTGGTCAGCCATGTGGGAGTGTCCAGCGCCTTAGCCACCATGCCACTTGCTGGTCCCCCACCTCTGTTATTTCTTAACTTTAAAAAATGCATATTGAGACAGAGAAGGAGAACGACAGACAGAGGTTCCCTCCACAGGGTCCGTCTTGGCACCATCCGACCTAGCCTCCCACCAGGGTCAGGCACACACCTGTGGGCACACCCAACGTATTCAGGCTGACGGACCCGAGCCCGGGCTTTCCCACAGGGCTCCAGGGTTGGGAGGTGCTGCTCTACGGCCTGTATCACCGTGAAGGAAGGGGCTGAACCTCGGGCTCTGTCAGTCACCCAGACACAGCTATTTCTGATATTAGCAAAAGAGAATGGACTAAAAGGGACTGTAAAAAAGGAACTAATTTTGTTCAGCTCTTTTGTACTTTTAATATTCTAAGCATTCTAAGCATTTTAAAAGTCAATAGTTTTGGGACTTCATTTAGGAAAGGCATCAGAGAAGCCAGGTCTATCCTGAGATGGACACTGTACTTCAGCTGTGAAATACTGGTTTCCTTGACCAAAAATGATCTTCTGCTGAGACTTCCCCTCCAGACTCATTTCTAGAGATAGCTCTGTGTCTCTTTCTCTCCATTTCTGTCTGTCTGTCTGTCTGTCTCTCGCTGTATCTCCCTGTGACTTTTAATTTTTCTTTTCAAGGTAAAGTATTCCCTGGGCTTTCAAGCCTCTTCTTTATTGTTTTAAATGGTGCCTTTCCTCACTTCATTTAGGAAAGGCATCAGCGAAGTCAGGCCTATCCTGATATTTTTGCTTTTTAAAATTACAATCTTATAGGGTTTTTTATCCATTTTTTCCCATTTTTTTTCCTCTCCTTAATTCTTTTCCTTT